TGCTGTAACTACTGAGCCAAACGGGCTAGGGCTGTTTCTGTTTTGTTTATTAATTTATTTTGCTTTTTTAGATTCCACATATAAGCCCTGGCTTGGTAGCTCAGTTGGTTAGAGCATCATCTGATAGGCCAAGGTTGTGGGTTTAACCCCTGGTCAGGGTACCAAAAGGAAAAATTTGTACATATTAAGGTGTACAACTTGATGTTTGATACACAGTGTGAGACATTCATTACACTCAACTTAAAGTAATACCCACCTCCAGACTCCACGTGTAAGTGAGATATCGTGCAGTATTCCTTTATGGCACTTCACCTGTCTTCATGTGGGATCCCCAAAAAGCAGCCCCTAGGACCAGAATTCAAGAGCATAATTACTTGGGAGGTCACCCCAGGAGCCCAGGTCGTAGTGAGGCGAGAAGTCGCCCTGCCGAAGATGTCGTGAGTGGGCTCCCGGAGGCTGGGTCTCCAGGGAGTCCCCAGGGAAGACAGAGATGCTTCACCGGGAGGACTAGGATCCTGGGCGTTTATCATGAACTGCCTTCCGTCTGTGCTTCAGGGCTGCTCCTAGGAGAGCCTGTGGGCCGGCAGCATGGCCTCCTGCGGCCAGAGCAGGGAAATGCCATCTGGCAGGTGGCCTGCATCTTTTGACCACGGTCGCCTCAATGCCACCTCTTGTTTGCCCACCCACCTCCCAAAGGTATCCAGTGGCTTCTCAAAATTTGCTATAACCAACAAGGCCATGTGACCTCAAATAAGGTCTTTCCTCCTCATTGAAAATCAAGGTTTACCTCCGGAATTAGATTTGTGTGTTCGTGGGCTACCGTTTCAGTCCATGGGACACTCAGCTGGTGCATTGGTCACGTGTGTCCCCAGCTCCAGGCTGGTGCTCACATTCATGTCTGCCCCCCAGCCTTTCACAGCCACCTACCCAGTGGTCGTGACTGTCCTCATTTTAAGAGAAGAAAGCCAGCCCAGGCACAGGGAGGTTAAGGTACTGGCGGGAGATCACACAGCAGGGAGGTGGCCAAGCCTATCTCGGCCATGTTTGCTGAATGAATGCCTAGAGGTCTGGGGTCACCCATGTGGCAGGTAAACCTGTGGGCTTTACTGCCCCAGGCCAGCCCTTGGCCACCACACCTGCCTTCTGTCCTGACTTGCTGGCTCCATAGCCCTGCAGATGCCTGGAGATCCCCGGCCCCTAAATGGCCTCTGCTGCTGCTGTGTCAGGCTGCCCCACCCCTCCCCTGGGGGGGGACTGGACTCCAAGAGAGGGGTGGGGCTTTCAAAGACTGTTAGGAGAGGATGGAGCTGGCAGGAAGCCAGGAAGGGGGCTGGGCCAGGAAGTCTAGGGGCTCCTAGGGGCAGGGCCCAGTCGGAGGCCTCACCCAGCTAGGGTGGGTGCAGGGCATCCAAGAGTGTTGGGCTCAGGTAGCTGAACTGAGGGAACGCCTCTCTCTCTCTCTCTCTCTCTCTCTCTCTCTCTCTCTCTCTCTCTCTCTCTCTCTCTCTCTCTCGGTCTCTGAGGGTTTCTGGAGCTCTCTGTGCTGATGTGATGGGCCGGCCCTTCCTGGAACTCAGGCCCAGGACCTGCTCAGTGTGTGTCAGGAAGGGAGTATGAAGATGTGCCTTCCAGAAGCTTCCAGTTCCCCTCAGCCAGGGTGGGGGCCAGCGGAGCCAGAGTTTCCTCCCTTCCACAGTCCTGGGCATGGCCCGCTGGGACTACAGCAGGAGGCCTAGACCCCAAGCCTGTTAAACCTATGGCATGCTCCAGAAGCCAGAACCCCCCCAAATTCGAGGCATTTCCAGACACCCAAGCCGCAGGACCTAAGCCTCCTGAGCTCCAGGACACCCAGCTATGTCAGACCCCAAACCTCTAGCTCCCCCAGACCTACTATCCCAGGCCCCAGGCCTGCCTGCCCCCCTCCCCCACAGCCCGAGTGTCTGCTGCTTCCTCATTTGCTCATTTCCTCTTATTCTAAGAGGCCTCAGTGTTGGACGCTACCCGCTCCTTCCAGGATGTGGGGTATGGGAGATGGCCCACCTGCACCTGGCCGGGTGGGACCCCTCTTCCCTCTTGTCCTGAAAAAAACCTGGGTGTCTTGTGTGTACTTGCTGGCTAATTTTAATGTTTTAATTGAATGTGTCGACTGTGATTCACATTCCAATGAAATGATGGGATCCTAAAATAAAATATATTAAAATGTACATGGTGAGCTTCTCCCTCCCAACTGCCTGCCACTAAGAGGTAACTATGGGTATTTGTTTTTCATGTTTCATCCAAAGTTTCTGTAGGCAAATGAAATCTAGAAAATTATTATTATTATTTTATTTGCTTTTTTCAGTTAACATTTTCTCTTGGAGACAGCTGCTTTCACCCAGGCAGCTTCCGCCCCAGGGCCTTTGCATAAGTTGTTCCATACATTGGGTGCCCTTCCCCCATCTCCTTACTCAGTAAGCTCCTTTATCCTTCTCAATAAGGATTCCTTGATCATCCCACTAAAAAGGTGCCACCCTAGCCCTAGCTGGGTAGCTCAGTTGATTAGAGCATCTTCCCAATACACCAAGGTTGTGGGTTCGATCCCCAGTTAAAGCACATGCAAGAATCAACCAATGAATGCATACATAAGTGCAACGACAAATCAATGTTTCTGCCGGCCGGTGTGGCTTGGTGTTTGAGTGTCCGCCCATGAACCAGGAAGTCACCGTTCAACTCCTGATCTGGGCACATGCCCTGGTTGCAGGCTCCATCCCCAGTAGGGGGCATGCAGGAGGCAGCCTATTGATGTTTCTATCTCTCTGTCCCTCTCCCTTCTTCTCTCTAAAATCAATAAAAAATATATATATTTCAAAAACCAGTGCTTCTCTCTCTTTTCCTCTCTCCCTTCTGAGAGGAAGGGCAAGGAAGAGAGAGATAGAAACATCAATGATGAGAGAGAATCGCTGATCAGCTGCATCCTGCATGCCCCACACTGGGGATCAAGCCCACAATCTGGGCATGTGCCCTGACCGGGAATTAAACCAGTGACTTCTTGGTTCATAGGTCGACACTCAACCATTGAGCCACGCCGGCCGGGCCATTTTAACCATTTTACCGTGAACAGTTCAGTGGTATTTTAGTGCATTCGCGTTGCACAACCATCACCTCTCTGTAGCTTCAGAACATTTCCATCACCCAAAAGGAGACCTCGTCCCCATTAGTAGCCATTTCGCATTCCCCCAGACTCTGACAGCCACTGATGTGCTTTCTGTCTCTGTGGATTTGCCTCTGTCTGTTCTGGGCATTTCACATAAATGAGGTCATACAACATGTGGCCTTTTGTGTCTGGCTTCTTTTACTTGGCATGTCTCTCAGGTTCATCCACATTGTCGATGGCAATGCTTCACTCCTTTTCGTGGCTGAGTAATATTCCACTGTGTGGACGGACCGCATTGTGTTCAGCCTTCATCAGTTTACACCCCTGTCATTTTGCAAACGTAGATATTTTGCGGGAGCCCCAGGGTGGGGTTGCTGGGTGAGTGGGCACATGTGTTCACGATTCTGGTGGCCTGGGCCAGGGTGCCTTTCCTGGGGGCGGCACTGTGGATATCCCCCAGCAGTGTGTGGGATTGCCTGTTTCCCACATTCAGCCAGCACAGATGTATCACACCTTTGAATTCTTGCCAACCTGATAAGTGAAAATGAACGGTCTCAGAGTTGTGATCACATTTTCTTATTTGGAGTGACTTTGGGTGGGTGTGTTGAAGAACAATTTGCAACCCTTTCTGAAAAGTCTCTGAATTCTTCTGAGTATGGAAATGGGAAGAGCAGAGTCTGAGGAGAGGGGAGAGTGGAAGGAGTGGACTGCAGCCTCTCAGAATCTAGAAGGCTCTTAGCACTTATCCCATTGTACAGATGTGGAAACTGAGGCACAGAGCAGTTAAGGTTGCACAGCAAGTCAGGGGCTAGAATGGACTTGAACTCCATCTGCCTGATATGCCAGGACCCCACTGAAGCTGAGACCTTCTCCCAGCCCAGCCCTGTCCACTCCCTCCTCAATCTCACTGTTACTGTCTTTCAGGTCTGATTCAGGCTACCTCTCCCTGGGGGATACTGGTCTCCTCCTTAGATTCCCTCCCCAGTCCCCAGGCTCACTCCAGTTGTAAGTCTTGACACAATGCCCCTCCCCAGCTCACACATCTGCTTTGGCTCCCCATGGCCCTGGGAATAAGGTCCCACCCCTCAGCCTGCTTCGAGGCCTGTCCTCTGCTCCTCCTACACACACACACACACACACACACACACACACACACTACCAGTTCCTCCTCTTAGCATGTCCACTCCAGCCACTCCCCTGCTAACCAACAGTCCCAGGGCCCATGCTTTGAGCCGGGGGCCAAGGGTCTTTGCTCCTACTGTGCCTTCTGCCTAGAATCTGCAAATGGGTTTGCTTCATCATTCTCCAAGCCCCAGACTCAACGTCCCTTCACCCAGGGAACTTCCTCACCAGCCCTGTAACATGGAGGCCTCTTTGTACACGAGCAAGAGTGATGAGTCTGTGGGGGAGACTAGGAGCTTGGGGATTCACAGGCAGGTTTTAGGAATCCTCAGCTAACTTCTATTCGCGTGTTGAAGCTCCAATGTTAATGTCTCCTCCCCCAAGAAGCCTTCCAGGACTGTGTCCCTCCCTCTAGCCCTGTCCTGACGGCATGGGACTAGGGTGTCTGTGTACAGCTCTGTCCTCTCAGGACCGGGTGTTCCTCGAGAACCTGGTCAGGGCTGCGGCCTCTTGGGGCCCTGGGTGATGTCTGTGGAGTGGATAAATGAATGCAAGGGTTGAGAGTCAACTGAGCTGAGACCAGGAAGTGAGTTGATGAAGCCGTGGTGATGGGACCGCAGCGGGGATATTAATGGGGGTTGACTGAGCTCCAGCGAGAGGGAAGCGGGCCGCCCTTCCCCCTCCCGTGAGAATCCTGGGCCTGGAGGCCTTGCAGAAGGGCGGGTCTTCTCTGTGTCTTCTTCATTCTTGCCCTCTGCGCTCCACCCGGACTCCAGTTCCTCTTCCCCCGCGTCGCTGGGTGCAGAGTCTGCGGAGCGCTAGGGACCGCAGGGGATCTGAGAGGGCGCCGCGGCTCCTGTGCGCCCGGGTCCAGGTGATCCAGCACCAAGCTCTCCTCTGCACCGGATCTCCCAGCACCGCCCAGGTAAAGGCGTGGTAATGGGACTGCAAAGATAGGACAGAAGCTAGAACTGGGGTCTGTGCAGGGCCTGCAAATCAGAGTTCGGCACCCCCCACCCACCCACCCACTCCAGCCCAGGACTCCCAGCCGCGGTGCTTCAGAGACTGGCCCTCTGCCAGGCAACCGCTCATTTGCATATAGTCGCGTCTTGGCCAATGAAGCCGCCCGAACTTGTTGGGGATTGAGCCAAGCCCAGGAACCCATCTGGTAGAAGGGGCAACGCCGGGACTGGCACCGGGGTTATGTACCCATTTCCCGGAGGGGAAAGACTGAGGCTGGAGGCCAGAGCCAAACAATAAGGGGCTATAAGTGAGGGGCTGCCTATTACCAAAAGCGTCCTGAGCTGTTCTGAGCCATTAAAAACAAACAAACCCAACTCACAATAAACCCAGGTGTGGAGGGTGAGAGCGGCCACAGGCAGGGGTCGGGCTTGGATTCTGGTGTCTCTGTCTAGGTTGCTTGAATGGGGCGCGCCCTGCCCTGGGCGCTGTGGTTGCTGCTGCTACTGCAGGATCCATGCAGCCTGGGATTGTCCTGCAACGTGTCCTCGGGGGACGTGGACTGGGCCACGGAGTTCACAGCCACATGCTTGAACTTCAGCGGCCGAGGCCTGAACATTCCCTGGAACAGGTCTCTGCAGGCCAGCAGCGTGCTCCTCCTCGACCTGTCTGGGAACGGCCTTCGGGAGCTCCCGGGGTCCTTTTTTGCCCGCCTGGAAAAGCTGCAGATCCTGAATGTGACCAACAACCCTCTGGACCGCGTGGATGCGGAGCTGGCAGGACGCTGCGCCCTTGACTTGAAGGCTGACTGCCGCTGCAGTCTCGCCTCCTGGCACAAGGTCCGGCAGGACAACTGCTCTGACCAGCTGCCCCCACAGTGCCTGGATGCCGGCACCTTCACCTGGCGCAACCTCTCCACCTTCCTGGAGGTCAGCTGCCCCCCTGGCCTGTCCTGGGCGGCCATTGGGGCTCTGGCAGCCAGTGGAAGCCTGCTCGTTGGGCTCATCATAACTGGCTCATTGCTGGCCTGGAGATTCCGGTCACGCTGGTCACCCAGGAGCCAGAGCCAGGACAAGACATGGGCTGCTCCCGATGGTCCCAGGCCCAGCTCAGGCTGGCAGCCGAAATACAGTAGCCGGAGCCTCAGCCTTCATCAACCAGAAGCCACCCTACCCAGACCCCCCACACCTGACTATGAGAATGTGTTTATAGGCCAGCCACCTGCCAAGGACCAGTCGGTCAAACATGGGTGAGTGATCCACACGCATTTGCCTGTTAGACTCTGGAGCCAGATGGCCAGGGTTCAAATCCCAGCTCTGCCTCTTGCAGGCTGTGTGACCTCGAGCAATTAGTTTTTCCCCTTCCGGGTCTCAGTGCCTCATCTGTAAAATGGGAATAACAGCAACCCCGCCTTATGGAGTTTGGGTAAGAATAAGTGAGCCCCTGTAGACAGGACAAGCTCCCTTCATGACCTACAAACCCAGTTTCTGGCTGCCAAGGACAGGGAGAGTGGAGGCCAGTGCTCTAGGCAGAGTGGGGGCTCTGCGGTGGCGGTCAACAGCCTGGCTGCAGATTTCATGTGACCCAGCGCTGCCCTGAACACTATTTCCGTCTTGTGGAATGGGGACAGCCCTCCCTCCATCTCTCTTGGACACAGGAGAGATGCTAAGAAAGACATCTGTGTCCATCTCCCCTATACAACGCCCCAACGTCTCTAGATCAGGCTGGGGTTAGGTAGGTTCAGCTTTCCCAGGTTGGATGAGAAGTGGGTGGGCTTTCAGGGGGAGGCACCAGCAGAAACAACTGTCAGTGGGTGGGAGAGAACAGAGAAATTGCTGTCAATGGGTTTGGAGACAGCAAAACATTAGAGCTGAGGCCGAAGGCGTTGGGAGGATACAAGCAAGGAGGGAACAGGGTCCTGGCTGAGTTTGGATGGTGAGACCCCGATTGGGGGGCGGCGGGCGGGCAGTGGGAGTCTATTGATGAGAAATGAGAGAATATGCAAAGCAGATGAAAACACGGCTTAAAAGTAGAAGTGGTCTTCGGTAGGGATTTGCGGGAACCAGACTTGCTAAGGCAGCTTGTGCCCTGACGCTCCCCTCTGCTTCCCTGTCACTAAGGGTTCACGGCCAGTCTCTTCCGAAAACATTTAGGATTGGATGCGTCATTCCCACTCTGCATTTTACAGATGAGAAAGATAGGCTCTGGGAGGAAAGGAAATGACTTTCCCAAGGTCACACAGTGAGTGAGTCAGAAGCAGAGGAAGGAAACAAACTCTGACTCCCAGTCCTGTCCATCCCTGTACAACCATATATGTGTTTGGAGTAATTTATACTAAAGCGTGAATGAGTGATAGACACCACTTACCCAAAGTGGGCTTTGTTACAAGAGGAACCAGGGTGGGATTAAGATGCTCTAAAGGAAGGAACGTTCTTCTCTGAGGGTCTTGCCTACCATAGCTAGACATTCCTAGGGAGAAAACTCCTCCCCAACGAATGTGTGGATGCAGAAAGGGAGTCTCTGAGACTTATTTTTATTTTGTGGCCACAAAGCCTGCTGCTTCAGGGACCATGGACACATTTCCTATCTATAAGGACAGACACTGGCTCCAGCCACGTATGTTTATGGGGCTGATGTGACCAGAGCTACCAATTTTTTTGAGAAGAAACTGAAGGCTAAATTTTAATGTAAAAAACAAGACAACCATCTCAACTTTAAGGAAGGAAAAAAAAATGCTACAGTGGTCCAAAGTCCTCTGACCTCAGCATTCTGTGCTGAATCCACAGAACCTTCCCTGACTCACTGACCCTGACTTCCTTTCCTCCGAGGAAGTTGCTAGGCTGGGAGAACAGTGCCCCTCGCTTCAGTTTCTCCATTTGTAAATATGAGTCGACTGGGTCACTGAACTGCCTTTGCCTCTCCAAGCTGATGTGCCTCCCCTCTGAGTCCTCCTTCCTGTCTGTCTGTCCCCACAGGACGCACCCTTCAGAGGACAGTGACTTCTACATGAACTACGAGGACCTCCAACGGGCCTCCCAGCCCGTCTACGGCAACCTGCAGTTCCCGGGCCAGGCTCCCGAGGTCGAAGATGAGTACGTGATCACAGGGCACTGAGCCTGAACTCCAGCCTGCCCCACTCCAGGTGATTCGGGCCGTTCTGGATCCCCCCTGGCCTCAGTCTCCCAGCCTGAGAAATGGGGATAGGGAAGAGCTGTCCTTGCAGCCCTCTGCCCAGCTCCTGCTCTGCTCTTCAGCCCCACCGGCTGCTAGAAAGGGAAGAGGAGACTCCAACACAGACACAGCAGGTTCACAGAGTCAACTCCATTGTCACCTTCCTCTCGGTGTGCAGATGGTGCTCAATAAACACTGTGGGGCTGGTGAGGCTGCTGGCTCAGAGGGAGAAGGTTCCTCTCAGTGACTTCCTGAGCTCTCAAGACTAGATCTCTGGAGACTCCTGAATTTCTCCCCAGCCCCTCCGCTCTGTCCCTCTCGGGTCCCCGGCACCCAGACTCAGTCCCCAGGGCAGCCCACGCCAGCCCCAGAGGGATTTATGTAACTCATGAATCAGGACTGTGTCCTTCCCCTGCTCACACACCCTCTCTGGCTCCCCATTGTCCCTGGGTCCTCAGTCTGGTATTTGAGGGCTGTATGACCCAGCCTTGTCACCTCACTGCCTCTCCCATCCCTCTGCCCTTCGGGTCTGGGCCTCATCCCCACCTAGCCCACTCCCTTCTGAAGCTTTCATTTTCCTAAGCCATTTGCCCATGCCACTCCCTTTGCCCAGAATGCCACCCCTTCCTCTTTTTCTTACTCGTTAACACCCTAATAGTTGCAGAACTATGGCTGGGGCGCCAGGGGGCATGAGTTCAAGTCCTAACTCTGCCATTAACTCCACGGGTCTCGCTCCCCCCATCTGTGAAATGCAGTGTTAGAATTGGTCTCTAAGTCTGTGCTTTTTAAAAATATTTTTTAATGGATTTCAGAGAGGAAGAGGGAGGGATAGAAACATCAGTGATGAGAGAGGATCATTGATCGACTGACTCCTGCACAGGGTAGAGCCTGAAACCCAGGCATGTGCCCTGACCAGGAATCGAACCATGACCCCCTCGTTCATAGGTCAATGCCCAACCACTGAGCCGCACTAGCTGGGCTCTAAGTCTGTTTTAGCCCTAATATACTGATATCTTAACTTGTCCAGAAACAGGAGCACTGAGAGATGAGGAGATAGAGGGAAACTGGCCCAGAGACATGGCGCTAGACAAGCATGGAGGCAGGGACGTCCCAGGCTGCCCTTGGAGGGTCACTAGCACCGTCCAAATGCCCGTCAGCTCCAAGAACGCCCTGCTGCCCATTCACTGACCCTTCCACTCCCCCCTGTCTTAGGTCCCCTGTGGGAACTGAGGCCAGGGAGGGGCAAGCTCTTCCCAAGGTCCCCAGCTCACGCATCACAGAAGCCAGGTCACACAAATTCATTTTTATTACCACAGTTTAAATAAACGTACACCCTGCTGGATCAGCCCTCCCCAGCTCTCTGGTCCGCAGGCCAGTAACCCCAATAAATTAATAATAAATATCAACGTATCAAAACTTTGTTTTTGACGGCAGGCCGCAGACAGCAGTGGTTCTAATGGTATGTTTCAGGTCCCACTCCATTCCATTGGACAGGCAAGGACTGAGGTCGCCTCCACTGCGCGCGGCCGTCGATGAAGGTCTAGGTCCGCTCACAAGCAGTGGCAGTCGCTGGCCACGAGGTCGTCGTAGGGCGTGAGGGACACGCGGCCCTCGCTGTCCCGGTGCAGGAGCACCACGGGCTCGTAGCTGGCGGGCACGCAGCACGGCGCAGGGACGCCCTCGGGCTTCAGGCGGTGCAGACGCGCCAGCATCTGCGCATGCCTGTTCGCCGACCGGAACTGGCTCGGGCACGCGCCGCTGCACATGCGCACATCCAGCTCGCGCGGGGCCAGGACCCAGTCGGCCCAGCCCAAGTCGTCCAGCGTTGCGCGCAGGCTCCGCAGGCGGCAGCAGCGGCCCTCCCCGAGCGGGCAGCCGTCTGGAGCGCGCGCATGCGTGCTGCGGCGTTCCCTGCCGGCGCGTGGCCGCCAGTGCAGCTCCAGCCGGGGCCGTGCGGAAGTCGATGCCGCCAGCAGCCGGTCAGACGGCGGCAGCCAGTGCAGACGTAGTGCGGGCTCCCGGGAGACACCGAAGCCGATCTGACGCTGCAGCGGCCGCGTCACATCCCACGAGCCCGACTCCGTCGGGGACAGCCTGAGCAGGGCCCGATGCAGGCGGGAGGCTGCGGGGAGCCCCTTAGTCAGGTTGGCCCTGGGGATGCCCAGGTGCAGGTGGCCGCCTGGTCCAAGTCTCACTGTGGGAGAGAGAGGAAAGCCAGTCACCCACGGGCCTACTGTGTGCCGGGCGTGAGGGTGTCCATTTCCTCCCACAGGCCAGGTTGGATCCCACCCCAGGGCCATTGCATAAACCCCTTCCTCCACCAGCCACACTCTCTCTCTGAATCCCTCCAACCTGCCTAAAATAGGCACCACTCTATTTTGTTTGGTAGGGATTTGTCTGCCTGATCACGGCGGTGCATGGCACGCAGTAGGTGCTTAGTCAAATGCTGATGCTGCCTCCTCCTGGCAATCAAAAACATTTTCATTGAAGGCCTACTAAGTGCCTGGGGCTAGGGTTTCAGCAACCAGACACTGTTTTCAACTCCTTGGGTCTCAGTTTCCCATCTGAGAAATGAAGGGTACTAGGCTCCCGGGATTCGCAGACCCCCAGGCTGGTGCAGGTGTTGGGGCTACTACAGGGACTGGCGTTTGAGTTGCTGCATGAGCACCACCGGTTTGTTAGACTGAAAGGGCGAGAGGTTTACCTGGAGTCTCACAGCACCAGTGGGATTAGGGCGGGATAAAATCACCTCTCCCCAGCCCCTCCCAGTTCCTAGCGCAGGCCAGATCTGCCCTCTCCACCTCCCGGAGTCTCCTCGGAAAATACTCTCCTTTCAGGGCACCTAGCACATGCCATTTCAGCAGTGCCCGGCAGCGAGATTGCATCAGATTCAGAACCAGTCCCGGTGGGTTCTTCCCCTCTTTGTGCACCAAGTCCTGCCTGCTCCCCTTCCCGTCCCCCGCCCTGCCCCTGCATCCACCCTCTAGGATCCCACCCACCGTCAACCCCAGCTACATTCAAGGACAGGGACCACGCACCCTGCCCGACCTCATCTCAGGGCTCTCCAGGCTAGGTGAGCCTTCAGGAGAGTCGCTGGCTTCTCTCGGCCTGTTTCCCCATCTGCTATCCGAGGAGATGTAATTCTCCTCTCCCACGTTGGCTAAGCTTGTCCTGACGCAAACAGGAACGCTAGCTCCCCAATCAGCCCCGAGGAGGGACGTGTTTGTCCGGCTCACAGATGGGGAAACTGAGGCTCAGCGTCATGCTCTATAACTCAGAACCACTGGTTAGATGATAGAAGCTGCTTGGGGTTGGGGGGGGGGGATGTATTTGAGATTTCACTCACGCTTTGGGGTGAGTATCTGGACGTGAGAGGCAGGGATGAGGTCAGGGTTCGAGTCTTCCCACGTCTGGTTTGCTCGAAGCCTGGTCAGCAAATCTTCGTAGCGTTTCCTCAACTCCTGGAACCTGGAGATGTCCGGACTGGAGTGTGCGTGTGAGGGTCCCCGGAAGACCGGGAGGTGCTCCTGGGCAAGAGATAGGGCGCCCCCCGACGGCAGCCAGGAGAGCGTCAGCAGCATCAACAGCATCGCAGGCAGCGCGGTGTCGTGGGGCTCTGCCCGGGCAAAGCTGTGCTCCTTGTGCTCTGAGCTGTGACTGACCGGACGCTGCTGCCAGACCTTTATATTCCCCGGACTTTGTCCGCCCCCGCCTGCCTGGTCCAGCCGACACAGTAAACACTCCAGGGACCACAGCTGGGCAGGGTCTGTGGCTGCTTTCCTGGGGGAGAAGCTGGAGGGTGGTGCTCCTGGGGAAGCTGGGGCCCGGGAGAGCCTCTGAGACTCAGTAGTATCTTCCTCTGTGAAATGGGGACATCACCCCAGGTTGGTGGGCTGATGGGAAGAATGATTTTCTTAAAAACAAACAAACAAAAGACCCACAACATTATTATGTGCTAAACTCCATAGCAAGAGCGTAAGAAGTGGCCTTCTTTCCTGATGGTGTTTCCTCTCTTCCCTCTGGTTAGAACCAAAGGCTGAAGATACTGAAAAGCAAAGCAGCCCTAGCTGGTTCGGCTCAGTGGATAGAGCACCGGCCTGCGGACTGAAGAGTCCGGGTTCGATTCGGTCAAGGGCACATGCCTGGGTTTCGGGCTCAATCCCCAGCTGATCGGGCAGCCAATCAATGACTCTCCTCATTGATGTTTCTATCTCTCTCTCCCTCTCCCTTCCTCTCTGAAATTAAAAAAAAAAAAAAATTTTTTTTTTTTTAAAAGAAAGAAAAAGCAGAGGAGAAAGGGCCAGAAAGAGCCAAAAAGTGTTACCTGGGCAAGTCATTTCTCTCCATCACACCTCTGTTCATTTTGGAAATAAGGACGGAGACTTTTAATGGAGAGAAGGTTACATGATGTATAAAGGACACAGTAGGCATGTAGTAGGTGCTTCATATACTGGGTGTTTTTGCAGTTACTCATCCTCATCTGGGAAACTCCTACTCATTCTTCAAAACCCTACTCTAAAAGCCCCTCCTCCATTCATTCCCCCAATCCAAGCCTGACCCCCAGCAATGGCAGTGTTGACTCTGTCTGCCCCAGACGTGGGGGTTCCTGGAAGATTTGGGCAGGGATAAAGCCACTCTGGGCAACAGTTCCTTGGCTGGCCCAGAGAGTGGTGACAAGGAATTGGAGTGCTGCACTTTAGGGCAGGGAGTGCTGGTGTTAGCCAGCCACCAGATGGTGAAGGGGCAGAAGGTGCCCCAGACACACCCTTCCTCCTGGGTCACCCAGAACTTCTGGCCCCAGGCACTGTGCCATGGAGAGGGTGGGCAGCAGTGTGAGACAGATGGTGGGATGTATAAAGTGTGATAGGAGTGTGCAGGCAAGAAGTACAAGGATCAGTGGGGGCCACACAGCCATGTTCCTACTGGGAGAACCGAGTTCAGCTCTCTCTCCCAGCACATCCCCCCCAGCTGTGCTAGGCCAACCAAGTCTAGCCTCCCCCCGCAACCCCCCTCGCACCCCCCTCCTCAGCCTTAGCTCTGTGCAGTGGAATTATATCAGGCGATAGGAAAGTCCTGAGGTCCCTGTGACCTCCCAGGTAACCTGCAGGTGCTTAGTTAAACACATGTCCTCACCCTAACATCCTCTTGCCCCACCAGCGTGGCACAAAGTCACAAAGTACTCACTAAAGGATGTAGGGATGACTAGGCAAGGAGCTAGGGCTCCCTCCCCCCACACACACCAGCAGAGGCCAGGCCCCAGAGTTATTCCAGAGTGCTGAGTCATCCTCACGTGGCAGAGCAAGATCAGCAGCGGGCAGAGAGAGCCCAGCACAGGGGGTGCTGTCCAAGGTGGCAGCCTGCAGATCAATAATGGTGAGACCACAGCATTCACTGGACTCCAGGCTGCAGGCACCGTTCATTTCCATGAATGGATAAGGGAACCAAACCCCAGGGGCACAAGAAGGTACACAGGTTTTAGGGGGTGACTCCACAATGGGTACCTCACACATGTCTGGCCTTCTACTGGGCCATGTGTTCCCCTGGTATTTCTAGGCCTGGGATAGGACTCTGAAGGTCCCCCCGTCTATTTATGGTTTCCCCCAAATATAACAGCTTCCAAGAGTTTGCCCTGATCCAGACCCATTGGCCTGGACAGCTGTCAGCTCCAGCCATTCTGTGCTCACATTCCTGCCCCTCCTCTCCCTGACACTTGGCACAAGGGGAGAGCCTCAGTTTCCCCATCCAGCAGAGCCTCAGTTTCCCCATCTGTAAAAGGTGGTCGCCCTAGTTGGTTTGGCTCAGTGGATAGAGTAGGGGCCTGCGGACTAAAGGGTCCTGGGTTCCATTCCGGTCAAGGGTACATCCCTGGGTTGTGGGCTCGGTCCCCAGTAGGGCATGTGCAGGAGGCAGGCAATAAATGACTCTCTCTCATCGTTGATGTTTCTATCTCTCTCCTCCTTTCCTCTCTGAAATCAATACAAATATTAAAGATAAAAATGGTGGTAACAGAACTCGTGTCAGGGCCGTGGGGAGGACACACAGGGAGTGGGGGTTTTGTACATGCTGGGGGTCAACACTATCATAATTCAAATTCCAGTGCCACCCCCTTGCTCTGTGACTGAGAGGGTCTGTGCTTGGCTCTCTCTGCCCCAGGCTGGGGTTTCTGGAAAGCTGGGGAAAGGATGAAGCCAGTCTGGGCCCCAGTCCCTTGCTGGGCCCAGGGAGGAGGTGGCAAGGAATTGGGGTGCTGAGGTTTAGGTTAGAAAGGGCTGGTGTCAGGACTAGCCACCAGAAGGTGATGGGGCAGGGGGTGCTCTAGGAACCCTTCCCCTGAGTCACCCAGACCTTCCTCCACTGCTCAGGACTCCGGGCCCCTGGCACTGGTCCCTGTGCCACGGAGAAGATGGGCAGATGGTGGAGGTGTGTAAAGTGTGACAGGGGTGTGCAGGCAAGAGGTACAGGATCAATGGGGGCCACAGAGCAAGGCTCCCACTGGAAGAACAGGATCCAGCCCCCTCCCCAGCACAAAGCCACTGGCTGCGGAGGCCAGCCAAGACTCCAGCGCCCTGAGGCTCTGCCTCAGCTCCTTGCGGTGGGTTATCACCAGGTAATGGGAGGAGCCTGGGCCAACCCCACCTCCCACCTTCATTAAGCCCTGGCTTCTCATCAGGAGCTTCTCCTACCATCCTGGCTGCAGCTGGTCAGGAGGTTCAACCAGCCTCTTCTTTCCACTCGGACCCATTCCCTCTCTAGTGATGGGGAAGTGGAGGGGCAGGTAAAGTGGGTAGGGGTGTAGGGATGACCCATCCACAAGACCCTGCATGCTCACACGGCTGTGCAGAGGTCGCATCTGAGTCCGTCAGAGGCTGAGTTCCCGGGAACACAGAAGCGGGAGGCTGAGGCCATCTCTCTTCAGGCAGGAGGCTCCACAGAAATTAACAGGAGAGCCACTATTTGAAAGTGAACGATTCCGTGGCCTTTAACACACTCATGATATCATACAACCATCTTTTCCAGAACTTTTCCATGACACCCAAAGGAGATCCCATCTGCATTAGCAGGCACTCCCTAGACCCCCTGCCCCAGCCCCTAGCAACCACTCATCTGCTTCCTGTCTGGAATCTCATTTGCCTGTTCTGGACACTTTACATTAAAATACTCTGTACCCAATTTCCAGCGTTGGGAGGGGAGGTTCCCCACACCAACAATTCTCCCTCACCAGCTGGGTATCCCATGATTCAACCCAGTTCTGACACTTTTTGCCTGGAGACAGCGTCAGATCCCATAGGTTCAGGGCTTTTGGTCCCATATGACTGTCCCCACCCCATCCCTCTCTCCAGATGCCAACTGAACTGCAAGTCCAGGTTGTCACCTGTGCTTCTGGCCCCCTTCTTAGGTTCGATGAGTTTGCTAGAGCAGATCAGAGACTCCAGAAACCCATTGACTCACTAGAGTACTCATTTATTACAAAGGGTATTAACAGATAAGAATCAACAGCCAGATGAAAAGATGGACGGGACAAGGTGTGGGGAAGGCCATGGAGCTTCCATGTCCTCTCCGAGGCACCATCCTCCCAGCACCTGCTGTTCACCAACCTGGAAGCTCTTGGAACCCCATCATTTGGGGTTTTATGGAGGCTTCCTGACGTAGGCATAGTTGGTTCAGACATTGGCCATTGGTGATTGATTCAACCTCCAGTACCTCTCCTCTCCCCTCCCCAGAGGTCAGGGTGGACCTGAAACTTCTAATCATGTTGCTGGCTCCACTGGCCACCAGCCCCATCCTTAGTTATGTTTATACTAGAGGCCCGTTGCATGAAATTTGTGCAAGAGTAGGCGTTCCTTCCCACAGCTGCCGGCACTGGCTTCCCTCTGTCACTCGGGACCCGGGCTTCCCTCGCAGCCCTGGCTTTGTCTGGAAGGTCGGCCGGCCGGCCAGTCTAATTAGCATATTATGTTTTTATTATAGACTAGAGGCCCAGTGCACGAAATTCATGCATGAGGAGGGGGTCCCTCACCTCAGCCTGCACCCTCTCCCAATCCAGGACCATTGGCTCCTAACTCCTTGCCTCCCTGATCACCGCTAACTGCTCGCCTGCCTGCCTGATCACCCCTCACCGCCTCTGCCTCAGCCCCCGCTGCCATAGCTTTGTCCAGAAGGGTGTCCAGAATGACGTCCAGAAGGTCGTTTGGCTGTCCAGTCTAATTAGCATATTATGCTTTTATTATTATAGATTAACATAGCAAAAGACACCTTTCTCACTCACTTCACAAGGAAACTACAAGGAGTTTAGGAGCTCAGTACCAGAAATGGGGTGGAAGACCAAATATATATTTCATACTCTAAGTCACAATATTTTTGCCAGTGAAAATGGTTTCTTGTGGTGTTGTGAGAAAAGAATTTCAAAGCTCACATGCATGGGAGTAGTTTAAGTGTAGTATCAAGACTTATTGGGGTGAAGGGGAATAAGATGCCGGCAGGCTCTATAGCAACTGCTGGGAGAGTCCTGATAATCCTCCATATATTTCCTTTCTTCTTCTTTTTTTAAATCCTCACCCCAGGACATTTTCATTGATTTTTAGAGAGAGGGGAAGAGAGAGAGAGAGAGAGAGAGAGAGAGAGAGAGAGAGAGAGAGAGAGAAACATCCAGAATGTATGTGGATAGAAAAGGGGCCACATATGAAACCTGACAAGCTTAGGGGAGGCCTTACAAACTCAGAGACCAGAATGTACCCCACAGCCTCTGCCTTTTTATTGTTAAACTTTGATTGAGATGCAAATGTCATAAGGAAAAAGGACTAATCTTAATGCTCAGCTCAATGACATTGTACAATGGTATGCCCATGGGACCGCCTCCTGGATGAGGTTCCAGAACATTCCCAGCCCAGGAGCACCCTGGGCTCTCTCCCATCATGCTCAGTGTCCCTGGATACCAGCCATGGCCACCTCTGTTATAATGGGTGAAGCTGCCTGTTTCCTAAAATGATGTAATGGAACCAATGGTGCCTTCTTTTCTATCTGGCATCTTTCACTCAACATCACCTCCATGAATGTTCTTTGTAACCTGCTGGGGGACCTGTCCTTTTCCTTGCTGTATA